CCAATCCAGAAGACAAGGGAACTCCTGAATCAAGAGCTGGGATAAAACAACCTTTGTAAAGGACTTTTTAATGGAACTTACCCGCATAAGCGTCACATGGAGAGTAGAAATTCCCATGTTATTCCGTCAGCAAGGGGATTGTAACCCATGATCCGTCTGTCACTAAAGATATTTAAAGTCAACACTGTGGTTTGTGCGAGCCGGGACCAAATTTCGTATCGAACAGTCAACGATGAGATCCGTTGGTCACGAAATTGTGACGCCTTAACAAGGGCGCCGGCAGAATAATGTAAAAGGAGGTGCAACCCTCTAACAAACTGCCACCCCCCCCCCAAAAAAAATAATAATAAATTTAAATATTCTGTTATTACATTTTGTTTTGTTATTACATATACTTCCATCTGCTAATTTTTTCAACATACATTTCTTCATTGTTAACAAGATATTTAAAAAAAAAGTACGAATTTCTTGTACTTGCAAATTTTGCCACGAGAAACTGTATTGATGGAGCATAGCTACTGCCTTTGAAACACAAATAACTACAAACAGTAGTTTCGTATACTAACGTGTTTGTGCACGCTTAAGATTGGTATTTGTTGTGTTGATATTTATTGAGTATTAGAATATATATATATATATATATATATACTATGTATGAAGATCAGTTCTTACCGTATTTCATCACTGAAGCTACAACGTGGTACGAAATGTGGTGGAATAGAGAAAATTCTTAGGAATCCCTCGAATACATCGATTTAGTAATTGAAGCCACACCGTTTTATCCAGCTGTAGCGTAGGCAATCAAAATTGGCCTAACTCTTCCAGCTACTACGTGCACTATTGTACGCACTTTTAGTACAATGCGACGCATCAAAACATGGAATCGGTCTACAATGTCTCACCAGAAATTAAGTAGTTTGTGCATGCTCAATGTGCATAAGAAAAGAATCAAAGATGACTCAGAATTCATGGAAAAAGTTATAAACAGATTTGGACAGCTAACATAACGATTACAATTCTTGTTTGATTAAACAATTTTTTAATTGTTATGTACCAATAATTACTTGATTATTTGTTTTTGAATAAAAATATTTTTAATAAAAAAAATTTTGTAGCAAGATTGTTTTTCTGTATCTCTTTAATTGTTTAAAAAAAAAAGCCAGGGGGTGTAAGTGTACCTCCTGCCGGCGCCCTTGCGCCTTAACCTCCATGACCCCCCCTCACCCACAGTAAGATGTTTTCACTTACCATAAAACGCTTTGCTTTAAATTCAATTACCTATTTAACTTAGCTAATTCAATTTAACTGCATTTAAAGAAAAATCAGCTTTGTAGTTACGAGAAAGGAAAAAAATGTCGGTCTGGAGCATCTAATGTAAATTGCGTTAAAACTTTTTTAATAATTGTTTATGATACATAGATTTGGGATACAGATTATGCACGGTGCGTGAAAGAAAAGAAAAAAGAATCTTAACATCTGAATATTTAGCACTAGGGGGCTAACCCTCCTGTTCGCTGCAGCTCACCAACCCTGATTAACCCTGACAATTGCTTTATAATTGCCGCAATTGCCTGATAATTGCCACAATTATTGCTGTTTCTTGGCATAAAATAGTTTAAATTATTCAACTAAAAATATATGCACTGAAAAGAACACATGTGCCTCCACTTCCCATGTTCAAATATTTCCCTTATGGTGCTATTAAGCATTAACAGGTAAGTGAACATAAATTATTTTTTAAGCAATCATTTTTTGAAATAATATTTAAAATTAAAAGTATGTTGTTGTTACAAATTGGGTGAGTTCACAACTGTAATTTAATATTTTAGCTGGTTAAAATATATTTGAGGGTGCCCCTTGGCGAAATTGGCGACTTATGTTTGGCGCCATTCCTGTTTGCGCAGAACACTGTGGTAACAGGAATGGCGGCCAAAACTTTATAAAATTGTAATGAAGCAAAATTAATTAACACAATAAGATGAATTTTGAATCGAAACAAAAATTAATGGAATAAGCACAGAAAGAAAAGGAAAAGAAAAAAACTCACTTCTTCATTAAGCTTGAATATCCTCAGATTTAGGTGCACAGAATTCTCTAATAGCAGTTAGATACTATCTAAATTTATCATGAATAGAATCTGTGTTCCTCCATCGCCACATAAATTCGACGAAATACGAATCGAAAATGCCGTCCGTGGTACCGGACAGGCGGTGACATTTTCTTTATAGTCTCTTTTTATGACTGCCCACATACCTTCGATCTTATTGACCAGAAGCAAAAGTAACCTTACCAGCCGGTATCCAACGTAGAACTAACGGACCTCTGAAATTATATATACTGTTGAACATTTAAAAATAAAGCTGAAATCTTAACCTATTAGAATCACGATTGGGTTTCAACATCGCCCAGCTTGGCGATCAACCGCGATCACAACTTGGCGGGAATCAAGGGGCACCCTCAAATATAGTCTACCCAGTTAAGTTCTAAATCATTTAATGAATCTCTTAAACCGTAATTCATTATAGTATACTGTAATTTGCACCACAAAATAATAATTGTAGAACGGTTAATAAAATCGGACATCAATTTAAATAACTTTATCCTAAAATGTGACGTAGAATTACATTATTCTAATAATAAATAATAAAAACAATCCTCTAAGCTCCTAATTTAGAAATGAAACAGAATCAAAAACATAATAATAACAGTACAGGTAAATTCAAACCTTTAAATTAGGGAAACAAAAATATTTATAGGAAAACAATAATTTTATGACTTATATCAATTTTATGCTGATGACAACCATACCATTATGAAAATTAATAAGGGTAAACTGGATCTTACCACGTGATTTTCCTGCCAATAAAAATGTATTGACAACAATGGAAAACTGCGACACCATCATTAGATTCTTATGCATAGTAAGATAATGGTTAGATTTTTCAGGTTATACGATGCAAAGCTGCAGTTTCGGAGAATAGATTTAAAATGTGATTGTAAATTAATGTTGACGCTATTTTAAGTTACTATTAAAAATATCTTTTTTTCCGACGCATTTAGATTCTTGACCCTCAACATATGGGGGGTGGGGGTCTTTTTCTCTCCTTCTTCGGAGAGGCGAAATTATAACTTCACTTATTAGAAACTTTTCATGTTCCTTCAAGCTGTCAATGTTATTTCTATTTCAAGCCTCGGTTTTTATTTTATCTTATAATTTTTCCTCAGTGCTCAAATGCAATTTCGTTTAGAGTTTTTTTTTTTTTTTAAAGTCTATAATAAAACGTTTAAGAATTAATTAATACAATCCAAGCTATAATGTTATGGTAAGACAAAGTTTACATTCATATTTTCAGTGTAAAAATTATATCTAAACTTTTACACAACTTCACCCAAAATTTTGCAAGTGAGATTGGATTCGTTACGGGGAAAAAAATCATAATTCTCAAAACAGTGGGAGCACTGAAAACCCAGAAGAAATAAAAAACAGTAGACCAAACGCAAAATAGACAAAGAGAAATAAATACAACATATAAAATAAAATTTACTAAAATTTGCCAGAATAGTTAACTTTTACAGCAGGCTTTACTTTTTGTGAAACATAATCAAATACTTAACTTTTTTGAATTTAATTCATCTTACATAAAATTTATTTCTGAAAAATTGTGTTAAGTAAGAAACATATAGTGAAAGAATTGAAATCCATGTGAATGAATCTTTGTGTAAAAATATAGAATGCGTCATTTAAGAGAATTGATACTTGACGAGCTGGGTTAACTCGAAATAGAATGGAAAGAACATTTGCTAACGCAAACAAATGCCACGTTTCAACAGCCAATCAGGATCGAGATCACAACGTCACTTGCAGGTATCCCGTTGTTTTTAAGAAGATTACTACAGGTCCTATAAATTCATATTAGTGGCAGTAAATTTTTGTTGTTAGAATTTAAATTTTTAAAGCTCACTTTATCCTTCAGAGTTCAGAATACTAAAACATTGCTTGGAAAGTTACAACTGTAATATATGCCTAGCCACACCGATCCCAATGTCCGAGACTCTTCCCCGAATTGATTATGAATGGCGTATAAATAAGTAAGGAAAACTAAATACGAAAGTCTTCGCTTAGTTGTTAAATTTGGGTCGAACATTTGAAAGGCGCATTTTAAGCTTTGTCTATTTTCTTAAACACGCTTTTTGAACTGTGTCCATTTTTTAAAAAGCACGCATTTCGAGCTGCGCCCAGAATACGACGAGTTGTTTATAGATTGTCAAATAAACAATTTCAAGATCTGTGAATCATACTAAATAACATATCACGGTCAAGGCTTGTGAAATTAATTTTTTTTTTGGCCAATATAATTGATTAACACAAGGCGGGGTATCACTGGTAGGTCGATCCTTTAACGATCTATAGCTAAAGAAAAACTGGACACTGCTGCTACGAAGAACCAATTTATCAGGATGTAATTGAGATTATAAATAAGGAAAAAAATTATTTCTACCAGACTTAAAAGTAGTACACGAAAGAAACAGCGTGGACAATAAATAAAACTCTTAACAACTTTTAAACTTTATCTAATTATAATAATATTATCATTTATCAAGTTAATAATAGTAAGCCTCTAAACTTTAACTAATTATAATATTATTATAATTTATCAAGTTAATAATAACTTTTAAGCTTTAACTAATCATAATTTATCAAGTTGAGAATAACTTTTAAACTTTAACTTTTAATAAAATACTATTATAATTTATCAAGTTAATAATAACTTTTAAACTTTAACTAATAATAATATTATAATTCATCAAGTTGATAATAGCTTTTAAAGTTTAACTAATAATATTATTATAATTTATCAAGTTGATAAGAACTTTTTTTGAAAGAAAAATATACAAATTATACATTTAAATTATTATTCTAGCTGATTTTTTTTTCTTCTGATTTGTTGTCAAAAAAGTACCTTTGAATCTCTCTTCATTGTTTTGCAATTGTATTTTAGACACCACTCATTCCCAAAGTGAGCCACCCAGGTGATACTCGTTATTTCGATACTTACCAGGAAAAGAAAACTATAACATCTTCTCCAATTAAAGACAGAGATTTAAATCTCTTCAAAGATTTCTGATCCAGTAAGTAAAACACACTTTGATTCAAAATTGTGCTATTTTTTTAGAGTTATTTTGAAAATAGAGCGTTTTGATTTGAAAATCAGAAAATACTATTTTTTATTTCGGGGAGGGGGTAGTTATTTATTTATCAGTTAACCACCAAGGTCTCCAGACTTTACACCTGGCGCTTTTTGTTTGTTCTGTGCGGCGATGTATACTACTGCCTATGCCAATATCTCTTCTAAACTTAGGAATTCGTATACAGCTGTGCAATAACTAAGGATCAATTACTCTATGTCTTTCTCGACAGTCCCGCAGTGGACTGATCATTAAGACACGGTTCCCAGCAGATCACCGAAGTCAAGCATCACTGACTACGGTCAGTGTGCGGGTGGGTGACCACTTGGATCAGTCCATGTAGGATCCGAGGATGTGCGGTATGGGTCCTCGTTAAACTGTNCTCGTTGGGCTACCGAAGCGGGGGATCAAAATTGTGATGGCATGTCTTCGGATCATCCTCAGGGATGTTTCCCAGACCGTCGCCAATAGCCCATTGTGCAGCTCTAACACGACGTAATTGAACTACAACTTTCTCCTCGACAACGAAATCTTGACGAGCTGCGATGACTCAGGGGATAGAGCGTTCGCTTTCCAATGCGGCGAGCCGGGTTCGAATCCCAGTCGATACGAATTCCGCATCCGGCTTGCACCGACCACAGAGCTGACGTGAAATATCCTCAGTGGTAGACGGATCGTGGGTTAGAGCCCCCTTGCCGTGAGGCTAACCATGGGGTTCTCGTGGTCTTCCTCTCCATGTAACGCAAATTCGGGTTAGCTCCATCAAAAAGTCCTCCACGAAGGCAAATTTCTCCCAATACTCGATCCAGGAGTTCCCTTGTCTTCTGGATTGAGTTCAAAATTACATTCGTAGTCCCATAAAATTGGGTCGGTCGGCTATTCAACGACGGTTATAAAATTAAAATAAAATCTTGACATGGAGTATCAATCTTATGTTTCTCGTATTACAAATGTTGCTCGCTCTGAATGCATAAAATAACTTCGAACTATCCACTATGTATATGTCACGTCATCTATTTCCGTTCAGTCTAAATAAATATTTAAAATAACTTTCATTTTGAATAACAATATAATGCGCAAAAAAAAAAATCACCCCGATTAACTCTTGATCTAATGATCGGATCCTCAGGTATTAGGATTCAATCTTAATGGTTTAAGAGGTTAACCTCAAAATGCTAAATAGTTGTTGCAGACAAATTTGAACGTAACGAAATCGTTCAAGAAAACTTATTTTCGCTGAATAAACTCTTTTTTTTCAACGGATTCGAATTTTTAACCATAAAAATAAAGGAAATCGTCCAATCTGAGTAGGTCCTAAGAGTTTGGCAAACCAAAATTTGAACCAGTTTACGTTAATTTTATTTTTTAAGTATTTCACTATAACTCGAGAACTTTTTAAGCTGATCGGAAAAAAAAATTCACACAGTTATAACATTCGTTTACACAAAGACAAAATTCCAAATCAAAAAAAAAAAATTTAATATTTATTTGTTGTTTTATTAAAAAACAGTCGAAAAATGTTAAATTGCAAGGTTTACAAATTCTTATATCATTTTAAAGAATTTAATTTTATCACTCAAAAAGCAAAATTTAAAGGAAAGCGGTCGAAAAGTTCTTGATAAAACGAATTTTAAAGTCGAATATTTAAAATTTGGTTTCTCACGAACTATTTTATTCAAAATTTGCTTTTTGACAAACAAAATTACATTCTTTAAAATGGTGTTAAAATTTCGAAACCTTTACAATTTAAAAAATTTTCCTCCTTTATTATAAAAAATTTTAAAAAATACAAATAGTTATTGAAAATAATATATGAAATTGTTTTTGAATAAACGAATTTTTTAATACTGTGGAAACATTTTCGAGATATGACGAAATATGCTAAAAGAGAAAGTATCATAAAGGGGTATAAACTATGGATAGCTCTCCTGAACAAATCACTGGTACCAGATTTCCCAGAGTGCGACTATCCCCTATATTTTGAAAGTTCGAATCAGTCACAAATAAAGGATGTTTTTCGCAGAAAATATATTTTCGTGTCTGAACTCGTAACTTAAAGTATCATCTGCACTAATTAAATAGCATATTTGAGGTCACAACTGTGAACCATTGAGTCCTAGTACGTGAAAATCCGATCAAAAGATTTAAAGTTATTCAAGGAGATTTATTTTTTCGCGCACTGTACATTAAAAGTGATGATTCGGCAATGAACTTGAACATTTGTAATTGATTTGATGTGATGTTACAGTAATTTTCTTTCATATAAATAGATGGTATAGATACATTTTACGCCATTAACAATTAAAATGTTTTTGTAATACTTTAAAACATTCGTTTTATGTGTTACATATCTCTTCATCATCATGTTTCTGAATGAGAAGTTTAAATATGGATTGCCCAAAAGTGTACACTGCATAAAGTAAAAAAAGGAACACCTTGAATAACTTTCAATCTAATTATCATATTTTCATGCACAGGGACTCAATCTTAATGGTTTAGAAACTAACCTTAATATGCCTATTATTTAGAGCAAGCAATATTTCAAATTACAAAATTAAACAAAAAAATGTACTTTTTTTAACGAATTTAGATTTTAGACCAGTGTTTCCCAAAGTATGGTACGCGTATCCCCAGGGGTACGCGTTCTTATGCGAAATATCTTGCACCAAACGAAAATTTCAAAAAATTTTATTTAAAAACAAAGCTAGCCATGAAAATTTACGATTACGTATTCTTCTATTGGCTATTTTTTGCAGAGTTAACAGTTAATAATTAATGGTGTCAACCGCCAGTTGTGATTTTTAACTTTCGTGCCATTTTTTCATAGTAAGAAATACATTCATTTTTTTATTAGTGGTACACAGCGTTACGAAAAATTTAGAAAGGGTACACAAAAGTCATAAGTTTGGGAAACACTGTTCTAGACCATCAAAATATGGGAAGTACCCGCAATCTGGAAAATAGGGTCATAGAAATTTAGACAGGAAAGCTGTTGAACCCTTAATGTTATTTTCACTTCTTGCACATATCGGATATCTCCGGACCTAATAAATGAATGCAAATCAAATAACTTTTATGCATTATTATAAAAACGAAAGATAATTGTGTGTTTAAAAAAAAAACAGTTTTATAATTATTTATTAATGGTGGTAAAATAGTTGTATACGAGAAATGGTTGTGATTTTCCGATCGCCAACTCTGTTGAGATAACTCCTTCGGAAATCCGCTCTCTCCACAAAAGTAATTTACTTTCAACTAAACGGGCTCCCACCAGTTCATAGCTGGTACACTGCAAAGGTCTCTTTAATCAGAGGCCCGAGGACTAGGACTGGGCAAAATTCAGAAGCAGTCACTTGAAATTTCAGAGTGGTAAAAAGATTTTTTTCTCCTTGCTCCCTTCCCACTAGTCCTGCTCACCTTCTGAATTGTTTAGGAGCCTCCTGGAGGCAGCTATTGGTTGAGCAGCAGAAGATTTTCGATGTTCTCAAGTTCTCTTTTGAACCTGGTGTAGGCTTTCTTACACCAGGGGGATGAGTAACAACAACAGCATAAGGTATACAACAAATTAATCAATAACAAAATTCTAAATTTGAAAGAAACCTGCCGAACAACTCGAAAACTAACCATTTACTTTAAAATCATGAAATACGCAATGAGTGAAATATGAAATAAGTGAATTTCAAACTTTAAACTGCCCTCCTATCCAAACTATTGGAAACACATTTTTCAGCATGTGGCTACCCTCCCCCATATTTTGACCCTCAAAAATACAAATCCGTTGGGGGAAAAAAAAGATTATTCAGGTAAAGTACAATTTTGTAATGAACTAATTAGCATATTTAAGATAAGTCTTACGAGCCATTAAAATTGAGTACTAGTACGTGAAAATCCGCTCGTTAGATCAAAAATTAATCAGATTGTTTGCTTTTTTATTTTGTGCACTGTACATTTCAATATTTAAAGTAGAAAATAGTTTATATATTTTTAAAAAAGCTAGCAAGCTGTGTCATTAAATTTATTACAGTAGAACCTCAATGAACCAAGGTTTCTGTAAACCGGGTCGGCAACGAAGTCTGAGTTTTTTTTCTGAAAGAGCCCTGAAAAGACCACACTATATTTTTAACTAAGAAACTAAACTCAGCGGCATGACAGCCCTAGAGGGCCAAGGCCTACTGTGCCCATCTCAGTTTTTTTGACTATGGGCTATGGGGTGCAGGAGCAGACGTTTCGGTCAGGTGGTCAGCCGAACGCAGAACCTCCAGTGTTTAGTTCCCAAGCATGCTTGGTACTCATTTATCGACCCACTGAAGGGATGAAAGGCTGAGTTAAACTTGCCCGGCCCGAGGATCGAACCAGGGACCTGTGGCACGACAGCGTCAAGCGCTACTGCTCAGCCACCGGGCATCACACTATATACACAGTTTCTATTAACTGAGATTTCTGATACCGAGGTACAAGCGTTCCTAATTAGCTCGGATAATCGAGACTCTATTGAACTAACGTTATGGATAATCACATATTGTTTAGTATAACTACTTCACCTTAGGCCTCGATACAATACAATACAATCTGATACATTAGTATTCAATTATCTTAAATCTTATTTAAGTTTTTTCTCTTTTCTAGTAACTGAGTAAAGGAGAGATGGAAACTTGTATACTAATAGCAACCAGCTAAATGTGCAATAAAATATAGATTATTTATGTGATGTACAGATCAGATCAAAAATTATTCTGAACAAATATAAATCTTATTGTGAAATATTTTAAGATATTTAATAAAAACTTTTTTATCATAAGACTTGTTTTTTTTTCATTGCTATAACTCTATAAAAATCAATGCAAACATATTGATTGAAATTCTCAATATCCAAATCAATCGGGAAAAAAAAACAAGAAAAATTATAAGGCTAAAAATTATAATATATCTACAGTGCTTTAAATATCTAAACTGACCTAGTGAAGATAACAGTGCCTCCTACATTTTTCTAGCAAAGCAACTATACACCAGAAACAAATAGTCACTGTTTTTTTTTTTTGTTTTTTTTTTAATTGTGGAATATAGATTCAACAGTTTATGAGCATACTATTTATCGATGAAGAAAAAGAAAAATACATTTATAGATTGACATAATGTTAAACAAATTGTGATTCCTATGGTGTAATCTAATTTTATATCGAAACAAAATCAATTTTTCTCAAGGGTAATGTAAAAACAAATAAATAAATAAAAATTTCATCTAAGTTGGAAAAAAAAATGTCTGTTTTATGAACGTCAAAGATTTAGAAAACTATAAAACTTTTTACAAAATATTCCATTGGTTTGAATAAAGAATTTATACCAGGTTACAATACAAATATGAGCAATTAAAAAAAAAATATTTAAGTATTTATAAGCAAAAAAAAAAAGGAGTTTTATAGCAAAATGATAAAATTTCAGTTAAGCAAAAATATAACCTAAAGACTCACTTTTCTTTTTTTTTTAATTCATTTTTTTAAAAACTTGTAAAACGGGGGATAAAAGTAAAATAGATAAAATTTATAGAAATATGTGGAAAAAAATTTCACAGAAAAATGAGAAAATATCAGCTATGCAAAAATAATTTAAAGGATTCATATAATTTTTCTTCTTTTTTTTAACTTGAAAAAAATTTCTGGATTTATAGGTAAAGAAAAAAAGTTAAGTTTTAGACAAAATGAGGAAATTTTGATAATGCAAATATGTGCTTCAAAAGATACACATGACTTTTTCAACATGAACCTGGCTAAGATTATTAAATATTCACGGTGTTCCACAATAACAACCCTTTGTATACATAATTTTAGACTTTTTTTAAAAAGCAAAGTAGAAAAAATCACATTATTACTATAAGTTCCAATTCTTTTATGAAGTTATTTTGTTTTCTGTTGTGGGCTAAATGGTCAGGATGGTTAAAGCTCCACCATTTCCACTGAAACAGCATGACCGTTGCAAAGCAGTCAGCACTTTGCACAGGCCGCCTTTATTATCCAGACTAGCTGGTACCCGTCAATCTAAAACAGAGTGGGCTTCAAGCCACTACTCGGGATTGAACCCCAGTTCTTCACAATGACAGTTCTGCACTTTAACCATTAAGCTAGCTGCAGCTCAATTATGTAAACATGACAGAAAAATACATAAAAATGACAAATAATTTGCAATAATGCCTATTTGACCATTAAAAAAAACTGTGATACAAAAAACAGAGTCTGGAGTAACAAAAAGAAAAGTTTATTTTGAAATTCCTATTATACAACATTTTTCAAAGACACTGAATACACAACAAAACCACCAGCAATTATTGAATGAATAACCGGGGACAGACTTTTTTTTCCTTTCATCAAAATGAAACAAACTATTGAATAATATAAAATTGCATTTAAATTGCAAAAGTTAAAGAATTACAAAGTAGCATTATTATTATAATTCTGATTACATATTTTAAATAATAAAACAAAATGGTTTTGAGAAGAGTTCGAACTAGAAAAAAAATAATAAATACATAAAAAAAAAGTTTGAGGCAAAAATGCAAAAATACTCTTATTTCATTTGGATCGACAAATAATAATCAGCTTAGTATTTTTCGTGAGAAAAAAAAACTGCAGAAGATGGTCCCCAGATTTACGACTTTCTCTCTTCCTGTCCTCTGTTGACGTCATTCAAACGAACCCATTGATGGTCATTCACAGCTTTCCATAAAGTAACCTGAAAGAAGAAAACATTTATTCAACTATCATTTGTTAACACTAAATAAAACATTTTTCATTCATGGAATCTAAAACCATATTGCCCGAGTGAAAAAAATACTTCACTGTTTTGAGGTCACATTTTGTATGAAGAGAAATAAAACTTCTTTATCAAAAACAAATTGTCCATTAAATTCAAAAACTTAGCATTTAATTAAAAGCATCCTTGGCAAATATAAAAAAGAAATGGCTTTGGGCAGAGAAGTTTCAACTTAGATATTATTATAAGTATAAAAATAAAATGAACGAACTGAGCTACTCACATAGTTACAATAGAGGAAGAAAATCCAACAAAGATTTTTGTAGCAAAGTAAAGTTTGGCTAAAATCATAATTTTTTTAGTAGGAAAACATGATTTTTTTTCCTTCACATTTTTCAGTTAAAGCTCTGATAAAATGCATTAATAATACTTAATATTATTCAAAAATAATATTATATCTAAAATACTTAATATTAACAATTAAAATGATTAAAATTATCATTTAATTACTAGTAAAACAAAACATTGAATAAAACAGGGATGTGATTGACAAAAACACAAAAAAGAGGAAGTTTATAACTGTAGCATTAAACGTGCAAAAGAAAAAATGATATGAATTCAATAGCCAATCTGATAATGATTACATTATTATCTATTCAAATAAATATAAATAAATGGTAATTATGTTTTTAAATAAAATCTTGATTAAAATAATTTTTTTTAAATAATTTAGTTAACTTAGAGTAATTATGCATAAGCACGATTTTATGTATCACACCATTTTAAGAAACATTTCTTTAATGGTCAAAGGACCTTTATGAACTTTCTCATCAGTTCTTTGTTTTCTTGGTGGTCTTTTATTAACACGACTGATCTGTAGACTGTGTTTTGCAGACTTTTGATCATCAGTGTTGATAGGACAAGTAAGTTCATTTCTCACACAATTTTTAGAGGCCTTAGATTAAGAATCGCGATGTTGGATTTCAAAATCGCGTGAATAAGAATCGCGATGCTTGATTTTAAAATCGCGTGAAAAGAATCACGATGCCGGATTTTAAAATCGCGTGAATAAGGCGATATCGGATTTTAAAATCGCGATGTTNAAAAACAGAGTCTAAAGTAACAAAAAGAAAAGTTTATTTTGAAATTCCTATTATACAACATTTTTCAAAGACACTGAATACACAACAAAACCACCAGCAATTATTGAATGAATAACCGGGGACAGACTTTTTTTCCTTCCATCAAAATGAAACAAACTATTGAATAATATAAAATTGCATTTAAATAGCAAAAGTTAAAGAATTACATAGTAGCTTTATTATTATAATTCTGATTACATATTTTAAATAATAAAACAAAATGGTTTTGAGAAGAGTTCGAACTAGAAAAAAATAATAAATACATAAAAAAAAAGTTTGAGGCAAAAATGCAAAAATATTCTTATTTCATTTGGATCGACAAATAGTAATCAGTTCAATATTTTTCGTGAGAAAAAAAAAACTGCAGAAGTTGGTCCCCAAATTTACGACTTTCTCTCTTCCTGTCCTCTGTTGACGTCATTCAAACGAACCCACTGATGGTCATTCACAGCTTTCCATAAAGTAACCTGAAAGAAGAAAACATTTATTCAACCATCATTTGTTAACACTAAATAAAACGTTTTTCATTCATGGAATCTAAAACCATATTGCACGAGTCAAAAAAATACTTCACTGTTTCGAGGTCACATTTTGTATGAAGAGAAATGAAACTTCTTATCAAAAAATTTTTTTCCATTAAATTCAGAAGCTTAGCATTTAATTAAAAGTGGAGAACAAGAAATAGCAGTTTTGAAAGAAAGATTCTTAAAAGCATCCTTGGCAAATATCAGAGAAATGGCTTTGGGCAAAGAAGTTTTAACTTAGATATTATTATAAGTATAAAAATAAAATGAATGAACTGAGCTACTCATATAGTTACAATAGAGGAAGAAAATCCAACAAAGATTTTTGTAGCAAAGCAAAGTTTGGCTAAAATCATAATTTTTTTAGTAGGAAAACATGATTTTTTCCCCTTACACTTTTCAGTTAAAGCTCTGATAAAATGCATTAATAATACTTAATATTATTCAAAAATAATATTATATCTAAAATACTTAATATTTCCAACTAAAATGATTAAAATTATCATTTAATTACTAGTAAAACTAAACATTGAATAAAAATCATAATTATTATTCAACACTCTCAATTCAATTTCAATATTTATATTCACCAACTAGGCATTAAAAAACTTTTAAAAAGCACTTGTATTCAAATAATTTTAAAACTAAATGGGTATAATTGAAACATGTCTATAAAAATCAAATTATTTGATACACCGATAATTTAAAATTGAAATTTAAAATTTTCAGATCACTCTTATCCATATTTAGTTTTATTTATCATTCTAGTTTGAAATCAAATAATTATTTGTAAACTTTCAATTAATTCTATAGATAAAACTACCATTATCAATAAAATCAGATTTTAAAAAAATCACTATTTCAGTTGTTACTTGGTGTTTAAATCTTTCCAACCTTGACACAAAACCTTTCACAAGTTGAAGGCAAAAAAACTATGATTGCCCAATTTTGTTGAATGGAATTTTAGAGTGATATGGATGAGGAACTGGCAAACCAGATGCAGAAATAGGTTGTTGTTCAACAGGAAGACTTGGAATGGCGATTTAAAGAGCTCAGCTAGTTAAATTAATTAGGGCATCATTTGTTTACTTTCCAAGCAGCATTTTTCATTTTTGAAGTCATAATTTTATCCTAAATCAAATTTTAAATTGATTTTTTATTTTTTTTATTTTGAAACAATTTCACACACTGTTTATCTTTGAGTAAGTTGAGACCAATAGCAACAATTTCATCACACTAATATTTTACTCTAAACACTAAAAAGAATATAAAGATCAGTTTAATTTAAAATATATGCTTGAAATACAAGGTAAGTCAAAATGGTGCACTATGCAAAATGCTACAAAAAGGTAAGTTTTAAATGTACTCCTCACAAATGTTCGATATTAGCCCCTTTTGTTGTACGTCATTTTAATAACTTCCATGGATGCAGGCAATAGCTGATGTGATAGAGATTTTCAAAATAGTCGTGTTGTGGAACCTGGATGCACATAAATGTGATCTTTTACAAACCCACATCAGAAATTGAAATAGAAATTTAGAAATGAAAATTTAGAGATAGAGGTGACCAAAGCAAGAGTGCATAGTATGTAGTAGATTTGTGACCAACCCACCTTTGGGATAAAGTGTTATTGATCAGCCCATTTCATTTTAACACAAAAGCGTAACAAAAATGCTGACGACGATTTAAATGTGACTATTCTTATAAAAATTCTGCATATAAGTATATTTTTAATGATTACATTTATTACATGTTGCATAGTACACCTAAGAAATTGGGGAATTCATTACGACTTACATTATTTTTAAAAGATATATAAAGTAAGCATAAAGGATTGCCAAAATATGATAATAATAGCCATAGTGATACAGATATATATTCAAGCTGAGAAAATAAATTTTTCAATGTTAACTAAGTATTTATTCAGTGATTCAACAAAGATGAGGACTTTACTACAATCAATCTCTGACTACAAACCAGCAAACGTAATTAACAAGTTATCATTTTCACTACATTATTATAACTGATAAGCTGCTTGGTTATAAAAAAAAAGCAAAGAAATTTAATGTACCTTATTATCTCCACCAGAAACAGCAAGTACATTTCCAGTCACTGACCAGCTGACATGCCATACTACATCATCAAAAGTGTGAAGAATTTTGGGTGTCCAAGAAGTTTCTTTAGTCTTTGTCCATATAATAACCCTCTTATCCTAAAGAATTAAATGATGTTAATGCATAGCAAAACAATAAATTTTTTAATAAATAAATTATGTAGAAATCAAAGTAAAGTAAAAAATAAAATATATTAATATAATATTTTAAACAATGTTCAGATAATATTTTATTTAAAATATAGACTTTGCCTAAATAAAAATTAGACACATGATAGCCTAAGAAACGCAGTAATGTTAACAGAGCAACCTTAAAGGTTTTAAAAGAAACTAAAAGCTGTGCACAGAAGACTGCATACAACTAACCAGATAACGTGAAAACATTTAAAGTGAATGTAAAATCATGCTGAAATGAATGAGTCCAAAACAGAAGAATGTGATATTGTACAATACAGAACAAAGTGTGAAGACTGAACTATTTCATTACTTAGACAAAGTGCCGTACGAGTCTCAACTTCTCGTTTGCCTCAAATCATTTCATCAACAGCAGCAATGGATTCATTAGAGATTATGATGTTTACTTACACTGGATTTCGGCAGATTTGACATTGGAATATGTCGTAAAGAAATAAAACACACTCCTGCATTTGATGGTATCAGATTTATAGCTTTAGATATGCTAAAATGTAAGGAAAGTATAGTTGCAAGTTCAGTTGTAGCACTGCTTCCATGGGTAAAAGTTACTACCAAGGTTACCGAAGCAACACATTAGCGATAAACATAATTAACATAGCGATAAACATAGCGATAAATTGACATTAGCGATAAACATGATGCAGCAGGCATCTTTTTATTCTCATTGATCAAATTTAAATAAACAAACCTTTAGATATAGAATCTAGTTGAAAAAGCTTAAATTTGGTTAAAACAATATATACTTTTCTTTAAAACTTTTTGAATGTAAATAAAAAAACCTGCGGGTACAGAAATCAAATGAAAAAGTTTAAAACTCTGTCCTATTTCAAACAGTACAAATCCTCCAATTATACTTTTACACAATTCATTTGTAGCCCCTTGTCTGCTTCTAGTATGCACATTGATCCATTCTGGGTGCATCTATTTCAGCATGATATACATTCACTTTAGAGGTTCTTAAGCAAAAACTCTGCGACTTAACGAACTGCGCACAACCAGCAGTGCACTCTCCTTACCTTAATTTATAACCTCTAAAAATGGTATTGCAATCACCATGATATTTACAATGCTATAAGCAGTGTATCCATTTTTCTTCCGGGCAAATTTACTATATACATTTTATAAGGAAATAAATTTAAATAAAAAAAAGTGGCACATATTTCTTATTCAAAAAAAAATACTAATTTTGAAAAGTGTTTGAAGACTTGTAAGCAACTAAATAATTCAAAAATTACCTGTGAGCAACTGGCAATAACACTTTGTCCAAAATGTGCCGAAGGAGCCCAGGCAACATCTCTCACCCAATTAGAATGGGCTTCAAGTTTTTCTTCTTCACACCAAGTATCTTCTTTATCTCTAATTAATTATTCACAAAGAGAACATTTTATTAATTATAATTCTAGAATTCAAGAAAATGTACTGAATATTTTAAAAAACTTAAATACCTTTAATTGCTAAAATTTCTTAGTTTGACTTTATATTAAAAAAAAAACTCAGAGGTGCGACAGGCCATAGAGGGACAAAGCCTACTGTGCCCATCTCAGTTTTCGTGACCTTCGGCTCTGGGGTGCAGGAGCAGATGCTTCGGTCAGGTGGTCTGCCGAACGCGGAACACCTAGTGTTTAGTTCCCAAGCATGCTTGGTACTCATTTATCTACCCACTGAAGGGATGAAAGGCTGAGTCAACCTTGCCCAGCCCGAGGATCGAACCCAGGACCCGCGGCACAGGAGCGCGAAATGCTACCACTCAGCCACCTGGCATATTGCCTTTATATTAGAAATAATTATTCATAAAAATTATGCTATTGACCAAAATAGTAATTATGACGAGGATATATCTCAAATTCAAATTACTTCATTTTCTCTTAATTTTAGTTAGGATTGGTTAATTTCTTAATTTTTCCAGTTTGATAAAACTTCAAAATTATTAACTTGATTTTTCCAGAATAAAAAAAAAAATTACTTATTTACATTCAATCTGTAAGTTCCATTTTGCTCTAACAATGAAAAGAACTTTGTTTAATTGTAAGGGGATTTTTAATCAGTTTTAAAATATATATTGAAAAATTATTTTCAAATAAAAAGCTTCATTATTAAACACAAAAGTTCTTCCGCATTCAAAATATAAGGATAAAGGCCTTTCTCTAAAACAGAAAAAACAAAACAGTTATTTTGTAATTAAAAGTGAAATTTATAGTAAGCATTTCTGTATATTTATTTAATATATTTCAAAAATTTACAATTAATAAATAAAAAGAAATGCAAATAGAAATACACTTAGAAATGGTTAAAATTGATAAACAATACATTTAGCAGGAAAAATATTTATTTTAATTATAATTGTTTATAACTTCATGCTTTAAAAGTTTATGTTATGACAAAAAAAAGTTTACTTCAATAAAAGAAATGCTTCTTTAAATAATAATATTGTCAGTTTGACCTTTCAGAATTATCTATTAATTTAAATTTTAACTATTGTATGCTATTAAAATAGTAATGATTACAAGAAAAAAAATTACAATAGAATAAGTTTTTGTAAGATTATATAGGTTAATAGATTTAATGCCATATGATATCTTACAATAAGCTTTAATGAAATCACTCTCAAATTTCAACAGGTTTAACATATTCAGCACAGCGTGGCATTCAACGAATACTCATAAATTCAATATGATCTATTATATTACGCGCCTCACTACAACAGATAGACATTTTAAATCTGCGCAATAAAAGCTTATGCTCTACACTTGTGCTTAATGTGTTAACTATGAATTTTCCAAAAAAATAACAGGTTTCTAATTCATTCATTTCAAAGTTTCTTAAACTAACTTTTTTTAAAAATTAACAGAGAACTTTATTTTTTTTCAATTTAAATATTTTGAAGAAAACGAATAACTTACTACTAAATTTTAATGAAATCTTCTTCCCGATATCAACTAGCTATCTAGTTACAAAATATTTAATTCTTTCATTTAGAAAACATACTTCAAATACCAACAGTGATATTAAATTCATTTACTTGCAATTAATATGTGGTCAAAAATGAGACAATAATGATAAATAAAAGTTATTTACATCATATTTCCAAACAGACATTTTGTAAAAAAAAGAAGCACTTACACATATTTCCAAATTTTAACTAAGTTATCACAACCTCCAGTCACAAATCGTTTGGTCGAGTTGGCATTTGATATATTGGAATTGGAACCTGTGTTACTCCCATAAACCAACTGGGCATTTACAGGGGCCCAACTTACAGCATTACAGCCAATCTAGTAAATGGAAAACCAAGAACTCATATATTATTCATAAGATATCATATATTATAAAATTAAATGAATGTCGAAATCAAAAGTGACAACTTAAGAAAATAATGATAACTCATGCAAAAAAAATTTTTTTTGTTCGGATTATACCATAATTCTCCTATTCCATATTCAAAATCTGTTTTAAGTCACAAAAACTTAATCTCTTAAAAGTACAGTGAAATTTGAGGTCAGTCGTGATATACCATTTTTATTCTAATTACCTCAATTTTGATAATAACAGGGCTGGTAGTCCAAAATATAAAAATTAAGGACAAAATTACCTCCAAACTTAAGGACAATTTAAGAATGCTGATTCTCTAACGGGAGCAATTTGTACAATATCAGCATGGATTCTCAGATATATAATTGTTAATAGTTTTAGTAGTCCCTGCACTTTTTTTTAAAAAAAATCAGATTTTTTTTAACTAATAAAATAAAAATAAAAAGTAAAATATAATTTCTAACAAATAAAAAAAAAATTCTTTTTAATTTTTTTAAACAAAAAAATCAGAGAAAATAGTCTAAATATGGAAAATCGTTAAATAGTAGCAAAATAAGAGGATTCTCTTGTGAAAAACAGTAGAGTATGATACACTGATGAAGGGAAGAAAGAGAGATAAGAGCTTTTTATACATTTTCTTCACATCAAATGCTTTCTTGCCATTAAATCAAAGGTAATTGTCTCTAACACTGGAAGTAGATTTAAATCATACTTAACGCACTGTGAAGACTTTGTTGTTCATTTTATTAGTTACTTTGTTTCATGGTACATAACATAATTTCTGAATTTGATATTTTTTCAATTCTTTTTTAGATAAATAATATTTATTCTTCCAGTTAACTTCAACAAAAATTTGAAAAAAAAAAAAAAAAAAAAAAATACATACTTTTGAGTTNAAAAAAAAAAAAAAAAAAAAAAAAAAAAAAAAAAAACACAAAAATTTCAGGACAATTTTAGAAATGTTTAATAAATTAAGTATATTTAAGGACACTTTCTTTTTTTTGTAAAGGAAATTAAGGGGAATTTAAGGGTAACTTTAAGCCGTGTAATAAATAAGCATGTTTAAAAAAAATGTGTGTGCTAATATGAACTTACAGTATGTGCATTGTGGATCTTTTTTGTTTCCCATCGACCATCACCAGTACTGCTCAGTACAGATACAGACCCATCTGAGCTGCCACATGCCAATATGAGACCATACTCATAAGGTGCCCAACAAAGGGAATTAACTAGAATTAAAAATTAGTAACAAATGAAAAATACATGTTAGCTGGTTGGCTTGTCTTTTAAAGAGATGTTTTATGTTACAAAGTCATATATATAGTAATTTAAAAAGAAATTTTTCTGATCTGGATAAAAGAATAAATAAAAAAAATCTTCAAAAAACATTAAGGCATTTATTCTATAATTTTCATAAAGGTGAAAATTTAAAGAATAATTCTTTAAAAAATAGATAATATTTTGTTTTTTTATTTTTTGGGTACACTGACTATTTTTATAATCATATTAAAGGCTAAATTCTTTTTCTTAAAAAAAAAAGCACTATATATCAAAAATTTAAGCAATATCAAAACATAAACTAATAAAATTTTTATCGACATTACTTAAAAAAATAATTTAGAAAATATGATGTGGTTAATATAAGGGAGATTCTCATGAAATACGACAATTCCCTGTCCTTTACTCCAAGATCTAATACTATAATACTAAATAAATTTTTTTTTTAAAAATTAATAAATTGTATTGCTGTTGGCATTTTAAAATGACTTTGCCCTAGCATTGACTGTTTTGTATAGTTAAAAAATTTAATTGAACTTCAAAATGTCATTTTCCTGGCATATCCCAAACAATGTTTCCAATAATAACTAGCTTCAAAACTTCCCATAAATCTAATTTTTTTCGTCTGGTGAAAGCATTTCTAGAATATACGCAGAGGGTATTATTTACAAAAAAACTTTGTTTAAAAATATTTTTTCTGTCAATAATTTTTTTGTCCCAAGAAAATCTGTCATTTTCCTGGCTACTTTTATTTAGTGGCCTATAACCAAAATAGATAGAGCCAGCAATCAATATCTTATGTTAATAGATTGATTAGATACCCTCCTATATGAACATGTCTTGCTGCATGAATAAAGAACCAATTTTATGGTTCAAAATCTATTTCAAAAAATTTTTCAAGATGAGTAAGTTTTTGTGTTGTCATTTTCATGGCTTCTTGAAATCATTAATAACTTAAACTGCATAGATTTATCTGAGTTATTTTAAGAAATCCTGTTGTTTTCTGCAGAATTTAAACGTCTTAGGCCAAAATATTAAATTAAAGTCAAGTTATATGCTATAAAATGGCGAATTTGTCATTATCCTGGCTTATGAATTCCAGGACATTGAAGTGTTACCAGAAATTTTTTTTAACTGTTATTACTGTAAGGAGGAAAAGCAAATATTAACCTATTACCAGGTTTATGTATGATTGTAATATGTTTGGATGTAATCAAAGTTATTTATTTATTTAATGATTGATTATTATACACAATTTTATTCTGTACATATCAGCAACAACAAATAATTATATTTTTTCTATGGTGGATAAAAAGAATTAATTTAAGCAATTTATGGTCCATCTAACATAAAGATATGTTGAGTTACTTATTATTAACTAAAAATGACTGTTTTTTAAACTTCTAAGCCAATATGTCATTTTCCTGGCATTCAAGATTTGGTGAATTTCTATTTTATTTTTTTTCTCGAGCAAATGTCAATAAACTACACTGCTGTCTGTAAGATATTAATAAATGTCACTAAAGAAGTATACAAAAAAAATTTTAGATTATTTTGAAGATTTTAAATTTGAAGAAATTTTTTGATCCGAAATGTCATGTTTGAAAAGAATCACCCATAATTTACCACTGTTTTCCATATTTTCTGTTGCACATACAAAACATATCACATAGGAATATAATAAATAGTATACATCAGACAAATATTATAAGATAATTTAAATCTCATAAAACTCCCACAGTGTGGAAAAGTCTGTTTTATACAGTTTTATGAGCTACACCTCAAACAAATTGTTTATTTCAAAGCCTATAAATGAAAATGTCATGAAAAAGGAATGGGTGTAAAAATATCAAAAAAATAAAATAATTATAAAGATATAGCCTATTGATTTCAAAGCTTTTTAGACAAATTCAAACAAACAGTTCCTTAATGAACAGTATTTTTGCAGTAAATAACAAAGAGCACCTGTTCTTTATATGCGATTAGGATTTTTTTTTTTTTCAAAGTTTAATTTTTTGTAGTTGAAAGCAATCAGACCACTTGGACTCATTTTAAACATGCTATTATAATTTTAGAAAAGAGCTGAACTTGAAATATATTCAGTAGTTTTACTTCAGGTTATTGATTTTGTCAATTGTTTTAAAACTCCCTTACTTTTTGAACTCTCAATGAGAATCATTTCTTACTACGAGAATCAGAAGATTTAATATTCTATTTATAAAATTGTAATTTGATTAACAATATTGCAATTTAATTAAATTTTTAATTTAAGTATTTCTCCGTTTACAATTTTAAGATTTCTGAGAATGAGAAATTATTGAATGAATTAAAATCAGTTTAAATAAACTGTACAAAGACATCAAATTGCTGGTAGAATTCCAGTAATATCATGTTTTATTCTTTAGCACAGAAGATCTAATTTCATTTTCTAAATATATGACAACCAGTTCATGCTAGAAAAATTTATTAAATTTAAGTTTTATTTTTTTTCCTTTATAATATTATTTATTTATTCATAAGTCCTAAAGCTTCAGAAATAACAAATTGGTAAAAAATGATTATATAGTACAATTATTCTGGTAAAATTTGTGAATGGTCCTCCATTCCAATATACAAATACTTAAAAAAAATATATGATTTAAGTATTTATTATTGACAGGGGGAAATGTAATTTTCTAAAGCATTAAAATAGGAAAAAAATTTATTAACTTCTGTTTGATTCGCCCTTAAAATTGTAATTTATTAATAAATTTAAAAAATTATGCAAAAAATTTATTGCTCTTGCTTCTTTAATTACTGAAAAATTTTGGTTTGTAGAGTTTTGTTACATAGATCAGGGGTCTGCCCAGACATTCTGTGAAAGGCCCGTTTTTGTAAAATTGTGAAAAAATTACTCGTAATTTGTGAACATAAAATAAACGTTAAGTCACATTCTTTCAACCAGGGTCTGCTTTTGTGAATTTGTGCAAATAGGGTCCATTATTTCAAAAAAACTTTTTTAACGAGTTTTGAAATTGTAAAGACACACAAGATTATGCTCAATTACAAGATTATGCTGTAAAATTATAATTAAAAAAATTAAATTTAAAAAAATAAACAGCAATTGCAGCTACTAAATTAGCGATGGAACATACAAATATTTGGTATTTAGCCCATACTGCTGAATGCAGAATATTCATTTCGGACGAATAAAGGAAGAAGCGTCTGCGGAAGACAAAATTTAGTTCATTTACATCTATCCCCCCCCTTCCTGGGAAAGGTTTATTCGATTAACAAAACAATAATGAAGATAAACATTTGTGAAGGGTCCGATTAAAAGATAAATTATTTTGTGAAGGGTCCATTTTTATGTTAAGATATTTTGTGAAGGGTCCGCTTTTATGAAAAGATATTTTGTGAGGGGTCCGTTAATGGACCCAAATTTCTTCTAAACAGACCCCAGTAGACCTACTTTTGCAAATTACTACAATTTTAAAATTGGTAATTATATCTTATGAGGGAAATCGGGTCAAATAAAGTGCAATACTCCAGATGTGTGAGCGGAGCAAATCTATTAAAGTCAACAGTTTGAAAACTTAAGAAAGTACAATTGAGAAGACCAACCAGAAGAATCATGCTTGTTGTATTCATATATATTTTCCCAAGTGCCATCTGTTTCCTTCCAGATAATGACCTTTCTATCGTAGGAACAAGATGCCAGCATAACACCAAACATTGGGTGAGCCCAAGCAACTTGCCACACAGGTGCATCATGACTAGAAAAAAAAAACATATATATATATACAGGGTGATTCTAAAAAGATGGGAAAAATTCTAGGAAGTGATAGTACACATCCAAGCAAACAATTTTTATCAAAGAATGCATGGTCGAAAACAAAACGCAATACCGCTAGAGGGCGTCAAAGTTCATGTTCTTATATGAGGCAAAAACACACAAAAAACGATGAAGTTAAGTTATAAAAGCAAATTTAATGATATGTGATTACAATAAGTGTTCAAAACAGTGGTCGGCAGCAGCTATGCACGCAGTACAACGACTAAGAAAAGATAGGGCATATCACAAACTTTCCCTGCAGCGGCCGAAAGCTTGGCGACAAGTAAAGTAACGCAGTAACTCGCAACAGGAATGGAGCTTTCATGTTTGCATCAAACAACTTTCCAAATGCGCCAACACCTTTGCGTTTTGTTTTTGACCAGGCATTCCTTGATCAAAATTGTTTGCTTGGGTGTCTACTATCACTTCCTAAAATTTTGCCCATCTTTTTAGAATCACCCTGAATA